CACAACATCTTTGTTTGTATGTGGTGCTGAGAATCGAACCCGGGCTGCTCGCATGCCAGGCGAGCGCGCTACCGCTTGAGCCACATCCCCAGCCCAAGATATGGTTTCTGACCACCAGAAACGTATTATCAACTCAAGTTTTACATCCAATTTAATCAAATATTCACTATCTTGAATATTAAAATGCCAATGCACAAAGATAAAAATGATTAGACTTGATTGAAAGTTAGTGAAAGATGAATAAGAGGATCCTTACCCCAGCAGAAAGACAACATGTTATAAATTATTATCTTTAAGCCTTTGAATTCACACAAAGTAGTCATGTTGGCCAACAAAGCTACATGGGAGAACTGAAGAATTAGTAAATTATGCATGAAGCCAGGCCAAATGTGGACATTCTCAGAACTGGATGCAGTTTTGAAAGACGATATCATGGGCTAGGTATGCAACAGGGGAAGCAGGAGACACGAGTTGTATTTAAATGTTATTTTAAATATTTAATATTTTTAAATATTAGAAAGTAAAGCAGTATAAATACTATTTTGGAGATAGTACAGAAAAGATGAATCAGTTGAGTTTTCACATAGCAGTGACAAGCATGAAATGAGGCAGAAATATGGATGAATATTCATACTATGGAGACATGGGCTGCTGCAGATTCCAGACAAGAGACAGCAAGGATCTGGATTAAGGAATGGGCAAAGCAATGAGACTGGACTTAAGAACAAATTCTTAGTGACAAGGAAAACAGTAAGACTAACAAAAGTTTATAATTTGAAGACCTGAGTGCATGATGCTGTCATAATCAATATAGAAAAATTGAGTTGGGATTAACACTCTGGAGACAGTGAGTTTTGAAAAAGAAGCAGTTAAAAAGACTAGGGGACAAGGTGGAACTGTCTCAATGTTTTGAGAGTTGAGATATAGATTTAAAAACTATAACTAGTTGATGCTAAAAGTAAAAACTGCCAGGATCAGTGAGTGGCGCATGCCTATAATCTAAGCAGCTTGGGAGGCTGAGGCAGGAGGATTTAGAGTTCAAAGTCAGCCTCAGCAAAAGCAAGGCACTAAGCAACTCAGTGAGACCCTGTTTCTATGAAAAAGGGGCTGGGGATGTGGCTAAGTGGCTGAGTGCCCCTGGGTTCAATCCCCAGTACCAAAAATACAAAATAAAATAAAATAAAAATTTTAGCAAGTTACTTTGTGGACATCAATGCACTAATTTTAAATTTAATATGGAAAGGCAAAAATCTAGACCAAACAACATCTTTGACAATGGAGCAAAACCAATCCAACAGAAAAATAATACTATTTACAACATAGAATGCTGGAACAATTAGACAAAGTCAATCACAGGTCTTTTGTAAAATGCAAAAGTATAAAATTTCCAGAAGATACCACGGAGAAAATCTAGGTACCTGGGTTTCACAATGAGATTTTAGATTCAACAAACGCATGCTCCATGATTAAAAAAAAAAAAAAAAGTACATTTAACTATCAAAATCTAAAACTTTGAATCTGTGAAAAACACTATTAAGAGAACGAAGACAAGCCACAAACTGGGAGAAAATATTTACAAAACATATTTCTGATAAAGGACCTGGACCCCAAATATAAAACTCTTAAAAACACAAAAATAACAAACCAACCGAATAAAAAAACGGGCAAAAGATTTCCACACCCCACCAAAGATTTAGATGGCAAATAAGCACATATACTTATTAGGGAATTGCAAATCAAAATAAGATACCCACTGTATACTTAGAAGAATCCATTAAAAAAATAGCAAGGGCAGGGTTTGTGGCTCAGTGGTAGAGCGCTTGCCTCACATATATGAGGCACTGGGTTCAATCTTCAGCACCACATGAAATTAAATAAAATAAAGGTATTGTGTTCTTATATAACTAAAAAAATTTTTAAAAATGATAACAAGTTTGTGGAGCAAGAGGAACTCACACTGACGGCCAGTGGGAGTGCAAAATGCTATAGTCGCTTTGGGAGAAGTGGTTTTGCAGTTTCTCATAAAGCTATAATATCTAATTACACAATCATGCTCATAGGTATTTACCCAACTGACCTGAAAACATGTTCACACAAAACCCACACACAAATGTTTACAGCATTTATTCATAATTGTCAAAACCTGAAGGACATCAATATGTGACTGAATTGATAACCGAACTCTGGTACATCTGCATAGTGTAGTATTAGTCAGTAATAAGAATAAATGAGCTACCAAGCCATAGAGACAGGGAGAGACCTTAAGTGCATATTTACTATATGAAAGAAGACAGTTACAAAAAGCTGTATATTGTGCTAGAAATGACCATAGCAACAGTAAAGAGATCAGTGGTTACCAGGGTTTTGAGGACAGGGGAGGAGGAATTTTTAGGGCAGTGAAACTGTTCTGCATGATAGTGTAACAGCAAATATATGTCATTGTGCACTTGTCAAAACTCATTGGTCTGTATAAGAGAAAGAATGAACCTTAATGAAACTGTAGGCTCAGTTAATAATAGTATCAATAACGGTTCGTTAATTGTAGCACTTATAACACTATAAGATATTAGCAGTATGGGAAACTCTTCAGAGTGGTAGATGGGTACATAAAATCTCCATACTAAATGTTCAACTTTCCTACATATCTAAAACTCTACTAAAAAAAATGATGTTTTATCAATAGTTATTTTTAAATGCAGGTATGAAATGATATGCGTTCTATGGTCTCATTCTTGTGATTGTGTTTATGTGCATAAAAATAAATATGGAAGGTCAAAACCAAACAATTTGTTTTAAAAGTCTTGACTTATCCACCATAATACTAGTATTACTCATTCATAAAGAAAAGAGGAAGCAGACTATATGTAAAATAGGAGGTTTTACACATTTAGTATGAGAATGGATATACTAAAAGATTAAAAACTGAAAAATACTGACAAAGTCTGACAGAGTACAGACTAGGGACATAACAATTATTCTATTAACAATGTTGCTCATAATGGCATCTGAAAAGTAATACCATTTTTGGCTGGCTTTCTTTTTTCAGTATAACGACTTTTTCACTCCAAACACTCTTAAATTTATGGGCTGTCGCAAATGACATTTGGATATTATGGTTTTAGGCAGACATTTCAATTTAACTGACACAAGTTTCTCATTAGAGAATACTGTATGGAACAAATTTGAACTCCATGCCACATTTGGATGAATACACTATTTTCATTTTCCTAAGTATTCCAAGTGAAAGGAATAAAGAGGAAACATTTCTGTAATTCGTTATACTGTGCACATGCTATGATTTCATGTGTCTTGAAACAATCTCATATTTAGCCTTCATTTAGCTCTAAAGATGACTTTTATGTTTTTTGTTATTTTGTTTTTTACCATCAAAATAGCCATGAACTATTTTGAGGGATGTCTTGATTTTGCACTGAGAGGACAAGTTCTGAGTTACTGCATCATGTCCTGAGAAAGCCTCAGGAGATTATTTGTGAAACTTGAAACATATCAAATACACTGGATGGAGAATCATATCAGTCAGGATCACCAGTGGCTACTATAATCATATAGCATTGTTAGATAACCTGAACACAACAAGAGGAGGGAATCATGACTGGCTCATTGTTCAATGAAATTGCAATTTGAGACTTTAAAAAACAAACAAACATATAATGATTTATGTTACAAAAATTAAGAGCAGCATTAACTAATTCTCCAGGGAAAATATGAAGTGTGTCTAATTCTAAAACAGAATGCCAGTGTAAAAGTCCATCACCAACTCTACACCAAGAAGTAGTACCTCACACTTCAACCCTCACCCAGAATCTTATCCTCTTGGCAGATAGGATAACCTCCTTACACCTTTGGGGACAAGGGTATTGGATGATGAACCCAGAGGTGCTTTATCACTGAGCTAGATCCCTAGCCCTTTTTTTTTTTTTCATTTTTGAGACAGGGTTTCATTAAATTACTTAAAGCCTTGCTAAGTTGCTGGTGCTGGTCTCGTACTTATGATCCTCCTGCCTCAGCCTCCTTGAATCATTGGAACTAAAGTCATGTGCCACCATAACCAGTTTGAAGCACTGATGTTTGATGAAGAGTCATAATCTACCTGTTAAACCAACATTCCCAAAGGTCAGGACTATGACCTTTATATGCTGATTGAAGTTCTAATTTAGGTTCCTCAAAGTAGTTGCCTCTGAGAGCCCTTATTTAAAGCAAACCTTTATTAAAATATTTTCAAATTATCTTGTAGTTGTTTTAATAAAAGTTATTTTTAAAATTTTGTCTAAACATATTGTTTCTGGGCTGGGGATGTAGCCCAGTTGGTAGAGTGCTTGCCTTGCATGTACAAAGCCCTGAGTTAAATCCCCAGAACCACAAAGACAAACAAACAGGGGCTAGGGTTGTGGCTCAGTAGTACAGCACTTGCCTAGCATGGGTTCAAGTCTCAGCACCACATATAAGAAAATAAATAAAGATCGATCAATAACTAAAAAAATATTAAAAAACAAACGAAAAAAACATATTGTTTTACCTTCACAGCCCTTTATATTTTTTTGATACAGAATCCTGCCTCAGCCTCCAGAGTCACTAGATTACAGGTGTAGTCCACTGCATTGAGCTCTCTCTACTTTTTGTGTTTTGTGTATGTGGTGCTGGAGATTGAACCCAGGGCCTGGTGCCTGCAAGGCAAGCATTCTATCAACTGAGCTACATCTCCAGCCCCTCTCCACTTTTTAAAGAATGTGAACACTGCTTAAGTTTCTAAAAATACTGACAAGATTACATTAATGAACAGCAAGATAGGAAGAAAAACAGTTGATGTTTGCCCAGCACTACAGCACACCAAAAACAGTCACGCCAGGAACCTCAATGGGTGATACTCCTTTTGTTTGCCACTACATTTTAGCACTTTCCACAGTGCCAACTGATGTAGGGTAGGCACTCCACAAATATTTGCTTAGCAGTTAATAAATGGAAAAATCTATACAACTGAGAATTTAATTACTGTGACTTAATTCCCTTGAATGTTCTTTTTCAGAACAGAAGAAAAATCTGACTTCTGAGGCTAATCCACCAAAAATTTTATGTAGATAATTCATACTATACTGAACTTACTCATTATCCTGAAACTCTTGTATATTGCTATAAACTCTCGGCTTAATGAAAAGACCAATCTCTCTCAATCAATGCTTAATAGACTCTTCTCATAAATTAGGATTCAAAAATCTAGTTAAGTGCTGTAGCTCCTTAGAGATTCACCATACTATAAAACAAGGGAATTGCTAGGACACAGCCTGTAGCTAATAATCCCCTCAGCACTTTGTATAAAATTGCCTAGCTTCAAAACATTTCATACCATTATACAATGCCAACCATATAACAATTTTTATCATCTATTACTAGGCCTTCTGATATGTATTTTTCACCCTAGAGAATTTTAAAAATTGTCTAAACATACAGCACCTTTTATGGAGATTCCTTGGAAAACTTGGAATGGAACCATTTGACCCAGCTATCCCACTCCTCTGTTTATACCCAAAGGACTTAAAAACAGCATACTACAGCAATGCAACCACATCAATATTTATAGCCACAATTCAAAATAGCTAAATTGTGGAAAAAATCTAGATGCCCTTCAGTAGATGAACAGATAAAGAAATTGGTATACATCCACAATGGAATATTACTCAGCATTAAAAGAGAATAAAATCATGGCATTTGCAGGTAAATGGATGGAGTTGGAGAGTATCATGCTAAGTAAGCCAATCCCAAAAGAACCAAAGGCCCAATGTTTTCTCTGATAAGTGGATGCTGATCCATAATGGGGGTGTGGCAAGGGGAGCATGGGATAAATGGAGGAACTTTGCATTGGGCAAAGCGGAGAGAGGGGATGGTAGGGAGAATGGAGGTAGGAAAGATGGTGGAATGAGATGAACATCATTATCCTAGGTACATGTATGAAGACAAGAATGATGTGACTCTACTTTGTGTACAACCAGAGAAATGTAAAATTGTGCTCCATATATGTACTATGAAATTGAAATGCATTCTGTCATGTATAACAAATTAGAATTTAAAAAATGAATAAAGATATTTGTAATTACACACACACACACAATCGCCTCCTCTCAGGACCTTTGGACAATTTCATGACCTTGCAGGTTAATGCTTCGACATAATCTTCTGAAGGCGGTGCTATATATCTTTCCCTACTTCGTCAATAGTCAGATCTTTAAAGTGTCTTATGCACCAAGACGCCCATCTGCCATGATAGCACTAATTTTTTTTCACCTTCGTTTCTTCAGTACCTAGCAAAGCGCCCGCTACACTGTGGGCGCTTACTGAGACGATAGCTCTCAAAGGGTCACTCTGTCCAGCACTGGAGTCTTTGAACACGCGTCAAGGACATAAAGCACACCGCAACCTTGCCGAGGCTTTTCCTAGGGTCCTCCCTTCACCTAGCGGACCCTGCCAAGAGCTTCCCGAGACTCTGCGCCTCGTTTGTAACAGAAGCTGGATATTTATGAGCTGAATAAATTCCAGGTCGCCCCGTCATTAATTCGGACTAAGGTCTCAGTCCCGAGGTCCCAGATGACCCTTCCAGCCTCAGGGGACGTGGCGTGACCTTGCTCCCTTTGACCCACCTCCAGCCTTCGCGCGCGCCAACCCCGCTTCGGAGCAGCTTCCTGCTGCCCGAGCTGCGAGACTTCTGCAGAACCCAGGGCCTAACTGGGCCCAGCGGCCCCAGGCCGGTCCTACGCACCCCACCCGCGCCCCACCTCCATCCCATTTGACCGAGCTCTTCCCTCCCTCCAATATTCGCAGTCCTCCCGCAATCTACCATACCATTGCGACTGCAAGGCGCGGCCAGACAGCCCAGCGACGCTCGCCCGAGAGAACATGGTGGTGGTACCGGCCTTGCTTGAAGGTCGGGCAGACAGGCCTTACTGCGCACGCGCGGAAGCTTCCCCACGCGCCCTGCCCACCCCGTTTGGTCCTTCAGTCTCGCTTCCTCGCGCCAGAAAGAGGAGTCTCGCGAGCGTTGGGGGCCGGTCCTCCCAGGCCCCACCTATTTCCGACTGTCAGCTTTGCCCCGCCTACTCCATCCAGCCCAGTTCCGCTTCCGGTTGGACGGATTCTGTGCTCCAAAAAGTGGTTGCTGCGGTGGTCACGATGGGGAAGTCAGATTTTCTTACCCCCAAAGCCATCGCCAACCGGATCAAATCCAAAGGACTTCAGAAGCTGCGTTGGTATTGCCAAATGTGCCAGAAGCAGTGCCGGGACGAGGTAAGTGGGCCTGGGATGGCTCCATATTCCCCAGAGGGCCCCGCTGAATATCCAGGTTCAAGTTCAGACGCCGATGAGAGCACAGAATCGGGTTCCCGGCTGCGAGGCTTTGGGGTCTGCACTGGGCTAGTCAACTCAGCCCAGGAGAGCTGCTCTTCCCTGCAGTCTCCAGACCTAGCGGGGCACCAGTGGTCTTTGACACCTCATTCCTTCCCATTCTGCACCCTCCCTCTCCCCCAAAAGAAATTAAATCCACTGATTTTGCAGTTCTCGAAGGGGCGTGGATAATGAATGCAGTGCAGGACGTCCGGGCGATAACAGTAATAATAACCATCTCTGACTTGGCTCTCAAACAGGACAATTAGGATTTACACTTCTTTGTGATTCAAAGAAAACAAGGGAAACAAAGCTCTTTCGCACAATTCATCTAACAAGCATTTATTAAACACCTAAATGAACTAGGACCAGATATCAAAATTATGAAGTCAGACAGCACCACTTAATAGCATATTCTCTTGGACAAGCCACTTATCATTCTCTATACCTGTTTATTCCTCCGTAAAGTGGGAATAATAACTGTTCCTACTTGTAAGATTGTTGTTGAGTTTAAATAAGTGAATTGTAGGTAAAGTGGCTAAAGAGAATCACAAAGATCTTGAAAAGTCTTGTATATTGTGCTACAGAGCTTATACTTTCCCCCATATTGAGGTGGATGGTGGGGGTCCACTGAAGAATTGAGAGCAGCTAATGGTGTGACATTTTTCTTTGGAGATCAGATTAGAAGGGAATGAAAGAACACTGAGGCAACAGGAATAATCTGATCCAGGGCTTCTGAGAGGGATAAGATATTTTAAGTAGGCCTCATAGAATGACATTGATAGTTATTTCATTTCCATTTCCTTCTTTCTATGTAAGTGAAGGTGAAATTCTCACACAGAAAACTAGGGACTAGTACAACGAATATCCTTATATCCATACCCAGTGTCTTAGTCTCCTTGGGCTTTTATAATAGAATGCAATAGACTGAGTGCTTCAAACAATAGAAATATGTTTCTCACAGTTCTGGAGGCTGGGAAGTTCAAGATCAGGAGGCTGGAATGGTTGCAGTTCTAGTAAAAGCTGTGTTCCTGTTTGTAAACAGCAGTCTTCCCTGTGTATCTTTGGGCAGACCTGGCCAGCTCTAGGCTCTTATAAAGGAACTAATACCATCATGGGGCTTTACCCTCACTATCTAATCTAAATTTAAGGCCCCACTTCCTCATGCCATCCTATTGGGGATTAGAGTTTCAATATATAAATTCTGGGGGACAACAAGTATACATTCTGTAACACACAGATGTAACAAAAGTGTTTTGCCACGTTTTCTTTTTTTGGAAATATTTTAAATTATAAACATCAGGGTATTTTACCTCTAATACTTAAATATGTATCTCAAAATTTCAGGATTATTTTCTGTATAACCACAATATATGTCAATAAGTCACTAATGTGACAAAATTATTAAGAATCCCCATATATCATCTAATAACACATTTCATATTTTTTCAGTTTTCCTGTGTTTTTTAAAGCAATTTTTTCAAACTAAGGCCAAAAGTCATGAATAGGATTTGATTATTGGGACTTTTTGTTCTTTTTAATAGACCTTGATTTTTAGAGCAGTCTTAGTTTCACAGGAAAAAGCAACTGGACAGTACAGAGATTGCCCAGTACCTCTCCCTCCCACATGCACAGCTGACCCCAACATCCTGCAGCAGAGTGGTGCACTTGTTATGATAGATGAACCTGCTTCAACATATTAATACCCAAAGTCCAGTTTACATTGTGGTTCATTCTTGATGTTGAATATTTTATGCTTGTTTTTTTTTTTAACCTCCAACAGTCACACCATTCTATGATTTTGACAAGTGCATAATGACACATACCCACCAATAAACTATCTTACAAATTAGTTTCTAAAAATTGTACTGTGGGTTATCAGAATTTTTTAATATATTTATTTTAGTTATCCATGGGCACAATATCTTTATTTTGTTTATTATTTTTATGTGGCACTGAGGATTGAGTCCAGTGCCTCACAGATGTGAGGCAAGGACTTTCCCCCTGAGCCTCAACCCCAGCCTGCTTATTAGGATTTTTAATTCTCCAAATTTAATTTTAAAACTTTAGATTGGTGATAAGACTATTTTTTATGATTACCACTAAAAAGCAGATTTTTAGAGCTCAATGCAGTATGTCTATTTAGAGTCTATTTCGATGACCTAAATCAGAAGTTCACTACTGCTTTTGCATCTTTTGTAGAATGGCTTCAAGTGTCATTGTATGTCTGAATCTCATCAGAGACAGCTATTACTTGCTTCCGAAAATCCTCAGCAGTTTATGGATTATTTTTCAGAGTAAGTAATTCAAAGACATCCTTACCTCATAAGCTTATTCAGTTGAATACTTAATAGGTGCTTAGTATTTTATATATTGGAAGTCTGTTATTCCTTATATGTTAACATGATAGCTGTATTCTCTCTCTGCTCAGCTTTTAATTTTCTTTTTCGAAAATTTACCACAGTTTTCTCACAATTATTAGACTTTCCTTCCTTCCATTTTAAACATGAAACTACTTTCATTCTAACACATTTCTGACTAGAATGGTGCTATGCTCCCAGCTTCCTGACCTCAAGATCTTGTCTACTTAGGAGCTGTGGAGGGCGGTGCCTCTGAATGACTCTCAAGGTTTTCTAGCTTCAGTTTCCTTATCTGTTAAGATGACACTAACAATAGCACCCTCTTCCAAGGATTGTTTTCCCTTCACAAGGCTTATAGGAAAATAAGTGAGTTCATATTTCACATGCTTTCAAGAGTACTTGGTACTCAGTTAGGATTTGCTGTTAATTATTATTATTCTATTAATACTTAGTCTTGCTTGTTTCCATATTTTTGTTTCCAAACTTCCTTTTGACCTGAAGACCCCTTTACATGTTTAAAAATGATTGAAGGCCACATAGAGCTTTTGTTTATGTGGGTTTTATGTATCAACAGTTAGAAATTAAAACTGTGAAGACTGGGGCTGTATTCAGTGGTAGAGCATTTGCCAAGCTTGTGTGAGGGCCGAGGTTCAAGTCCATGCACTGCAAAAAAGGGGGGAAAAAAAGGAGGAGGAGGAAAGAAAGAAAACTTAAAACTGAGAAATTTTAAAATACTATTTTTAGTTCATTTAAAAATAGCAACATACTTATTAAATATTAAATAACATTTTAAAATGAAAAAGTATATTTTCCAAATAAAAAGCATGAATGCTTTGTTTTTGCAAACAATGTTGACTTAATAGAAGGCAGTTGGTTTCTCACATCTCCTTCTGCATTTAGTCTGTCATGAATGTTTTGTTTGAAGCACATGAATATCCAGTATTTACATAAATGTATAATTAGAAGGGGAGAAATAGTTTAGTAATATTTTTAGATAATTTTAGATAGTCTTCTTAGATACTACATCAATTAAAATATGTGACAGTTTCTTAAAGCTTAGTCATAATGTAGACTCTGAAATTAGATTAGTGAAGTTTTTGTACTGTTAAATTAAAATTAATTGATTTATCTTTTGTGTGGATCTTATGTCTGTGCATGATTTTGTAACATATGTTAGACATTTGAAAAGTATCAGTTTACTACATTACACAGATCTTCCAAATCATGGCATATTATATCCTGTAATGTCATCAAATCATATTAACCCATTTGTCCCATTGTCCCAGATGCTGAATACCTATCAAAACTTAAATTGATCAACAAATATAGTACTTGTAATAACTTTAAAGTCGATAAATATACCACTTGTGATAACTTTCAAATAATTATTATTTTTATTTTTCAAATAATTTATTATGTTTTGTTCATAGATGAATGATTAGAACATTTGAGAAAAAAACATACACATACACATGCATATATATACACACATATGTTCTTGATTCTGATTTCCAACTTATTTTAATACACCTGTGTCAATTGTGTTGAAATATTTGCAGAATTGGAAACTTGGGACTTCTTGGGTTAATATCAACATTGATGTCACCAGAACATCCCTAAGTGTCAGGAAGCATGTCAAGCCCACAGCAGCAAGTACTAATTCACCAAAATTCTACTTGTTGCTTAAAAGGTCAAATTTCATTATTGGCCACAAATACTGTCAGTTTTTTTCCTCCACATGACAGGTTCACTTTGTTTATATTTAAGAAAATGTATTCCAAAGTTCCAATTTGGAATAGTGATACTTTACATGTCAGGGTTCTTTCAAGAAAAAATAATGTCCTGTGAAAAAGTGTTTCACTTCATAGCTCTAAAACCATATGAGAGAGTTGAGATTTAATACATCTAATAAATTTTACTGTTTCCTCCAAGACATAGTAGATGAAACTCGCCCTGGTTTTAACTGTGAGCTCATGATGTGAAGAATACACTGGCTGCTAGTGTGGTTTGACATCACTGCCCCCTGCCTGGCTTGAGTGCTAAGTTGCTAGCAAGTTTTTCCTCCATTGCTTGTATGCCATCAGTGCAAATAACAGTCACAAAGGCAAAATTGCTGTTCTATGAGTTACCTTCCTCCATTGCTTGTATGCCATCAGTGCAAATAACAGTCACAAAGGCAAAATTGCTGTTCTGTGAGTTACCTAAAACTATCTTGAACATGGCCAGGACACGTGCTACACTTTGGGAAACGCCCTCCTAGCAAGAGCGGTCTACATTCGCTGTTCTGCTGTCTGCTGTGGCTCACTTGTGCCTCTTGAGTCTTCTGAAGAGTTGCTTGTGCCTTTTCTCATCTTTATCTTCCTCGATCTTTCTTCAGTACTTATAATTCTTCATCAAAACCTTTGTTCTGGGGCTGGGGATGTGGCTCAAGTGGTAGCACGCTTGCCTGGTGTGCCCAAGGCACTGAGTTCGATCCTCAGCACCACATAAAAATAAATAAAGATATTGTGTCCACCAAAAGCCTTTAGTACTTTTTTCCTTCAGTATCTACTCTTTTCCTCCCAGCTCTGCAAATGCAGGAAAGTTCTCCAAGGTGCCTTTTGACTTTCACACTCAATTCAGTCAATAGTCTCCATGAATCACCTTATTCTTTTTAACTGTTATTTTTATATTTAGATGCCTCCCAAATCTTGAAGTTCATTCCTAACATCTGTCTCAATTTACAGATTTTTTTCCCCCTTGATAACTCTAATTTTTATTTCTGAAGGCTGTCTCAGTCAGAGTCAGGTTTTTGTTTTTGTTTTTTTGTGGTGCTGGAGATTGAACCCAAGGCCTTGTACATGCAAGGCAAGCACTCTACCAAAGGAGCTAATCCCCAGTCCCAGAGGCAGCATTTTAAAAATTGAACTCACTATCCTGTGTATCAAACCTGCCTTCTGATCTGTTTTGACTAGTTGCTATTTGCTTAGAGTTCCAAACTGCAAACCTCAAGTTCTGTTGGAATCCCTACTTGTCAATTCTTCTACATAATATCCTTGAATTTTAGTAGTATTTCTCAGCATCTCTCACCTGAATATTTTCAGTTTCTTGCTCACTAATCTCCCAACCTTTAGCTCTTGTGTGTGTATGTGTGTGTAGGGCAGGTTGGTACTAGGGATTGAATGCCACTGGGCTATACCCACAGATCTTTTCAAATTTTATTTTGAAACTAGGTCTCACTAAATTGCCCAGGCTGAGCTCAAACTTAACAATCCTCTTGCTTCAGCCTCTCAAGTAGCTGGAATTATAGACATGCACTACCTCACCCAGCTAACTAACCTTCAACTATGGCCTCTCCTGTACATGTTTTATACCAGTGGTTCTCAGACCACTGTGTGTATCAGAGTCAGCTGGTGGGCTTAACAGAATGGCATACCCAACTTCTGATTAAGTAGATCTGGAATGGGCTAGAGATTTTGCATTTTTATCTAGTTCTCAGGTGATGGTAATGGTAATGCTGATGGTTTGGGGAGCCCCATTTGAGAATTTTTGTTCTCTACTATTCACCACAATTATCTTTGTAGATTTTAACAATTTACTTCCCAAACTAAATTATTTAGTACTTTTCTAATGCCTGCATAAAACTTGATCTATTTAGCATGACATTCAAGGTACTTAAAAAAATGAGTCCTAACAACTAATTTTCTTAAAATTAATTTTAACCTTATTATTATTATTATTATTATTCACCTCCCCTTATTCTATTCTACCTCCAGTATCATCCTCATTTTTCTCTGCCTTAAACTTTACCTAAAGTAGCATAAGTGTCATCTCTCAAACGTGATGTTTTTATAGCTCTCTGCTAGCTGTAAATGACCTCCTTTTTACCTATGAAAGTCCATTTATACATTTATATTTCACTGTTCATATTAAAATCACCTCTGGGCATCTCCTTCAGTTTATTTATTTATTTATTTATTTGTAAAATTTAACTCAGGGCACTCAATCATAGAGCCACATCCCCAGCCCTATTTTCATTTTATATAGAGACAGAGTCTCACTGAGTTGCTTAGCACCTTGCCATTGCTGAGGCTGGCTTTGAACTCTCCATCCTTCTGCCTCAGCCTCCCAAATCTCTGGGATTATATGCAGGTGTGACACCCTGCCCTTTTTTTATAATATTTCATTCCATTTATTTTTTTAGTTTAACTTTGGTTATGATTGTTATGCTAAATTGTAAACTCCTTAAAGATCAAAATTTGTATTTTGTTTTTTCCTAGCACTTAATACAGTGTACCTACTTAAATGGGACCTGCTAAGTGCCAATTTCATCTGGAATAAAGGCATTTTTGTTATGATAAATAAAATGGGGATATAATACCACATTTAGTAGCACTAGGAGACTTTGTAAAGGACCCTCTCCAAAGATATGTGGTAACTTTTCCTATGGTTGCTTTACCAAAACAACATTTTAATTCCAAACTGACTTTTAACTTTGATCCTTGAAAGCTCTATCTTTTGGAGTTCCTTCCTTGTTCAGCTTGTAAAAGATTCTAACAGATAGTCTGAACATTAAAAGTATATGATTGCTTAAATGTCAGGAAGATATGCTGTATATTTATAGAAAGTACCCTAATATTTTCCTTTCTTTCTTAACCAGGGAATTCCGAAATGACTTTCTAGAACTTCTCAGAAGACGCTTTGGTAAACATCTTAAGTGTTATGTAAATAATAGCTTTATAATCTTACAAACTTCTTAGGATCAACAGTGTTATCTTTTGTTCTCAGGCACTAAGAGAGTCCACAACAACATTGTCTACAATGAATACATCAGCCACAGAGAGCACATCCACATGAATGCCACTCAGTGGGAAACACTGACTGATTTTACCAAGTGGCTGGGCAGAGAAGGTGAGAAGAAGAGGTTATTTACATTGTTATTATGACATCACTGACTAGAGAGAAAGAATTGTCATTTTCTCTCCAAATTCATGGAAAAGAGGATGTATGAGGCAATTTGAAAACTGCAGGAGAGGAGTATACTATTCTAGGATAGGTTTTGTTTATTATAGTTGACTACTAACATCTAGACTAAGTTCATTTGACAGTGCTAAGATTTGTCACTGAAGGTGATTTTTTAAAATTTGCTTTTCTTTTTTTGGCGAATGGGGCTAGTGGGACCTGAACCCAGGGGTGCTTAAACACTGAGCTCAATCTCCAGCCCTCCACCATCCCCCCCCTTTTTTTTTTTTAATTTTGAGAGAGGGTCTAGCTAAGTTGCTTAGGGCCTCACTAAGTTGCTAAGGCTGGTCTTGAATTTGTGATCCTCCTGCCTCAGCCTCGAGAGCCTCTGGGATTATAGGCGTGCATTACTGCACCGACTAATTTGCTTTTTTTTTTTTTAGGAAGGAAAGAGAAAAAGATTTTATAGCATCAAATTACTTATTTAGTGTGTTACTTTATTTTTACAGAGAATCATATATTTTTTAATATTAGATACTTAGATATCGCTGAATAATTTTTATGCAAAATAATACTTTTTTCATGTTTCCCTTGTTTACATATTTTGCTTCATTGTAGCTATATAAAAATCAAAATAATAGGTTTTTTTCTATTTAAAGAGATAAAAGATTCCACTTATATCTGAATTTCATTAAGTAAAAATATGAAAAATTCATATGCTTCATGAATTTCTGTATTTTAATGTGTATGATTGTATTTGAATGATTGAGTAAATATGCAGAGAAGAAACACATTATATTTACATTTTGCTTGATTACATGCAAATTTATGGTGTTGGTTGTTTTTTTTAAGGCTTGTGCAAAGTGGATGAGACACCAAAAGGCTGGTATATTCAGTATATAGATAGAGACCCCGAAACTATCCGCCGCCAACTGGAACTAGAGAAAAAGAAGAAGCAAGACCTCGATGATGAGGAAAAAACTGCCAAATTTATTGAAGAACAAGTGAGAAGAGGTCTAGAAGGAAAAGAACAGGTGAACAACAGTATCATCCAGAGAGGCGATGTAAAAAATCTAAAAACGTAAAATGGCTTGTTTTCTCAAACAGCAAATTAAGATTTTTAGGTGGTGTTTCTTAGTTAGGGGAGAAAGAGCATGACCAAGTGTAAAAGCACAGGCTTTGGAGTTGAGAGAAATCTCAGTGTATTCCTTCCTAACTTCATGATCTTGAATAATCATAGAATCTGTAAACCTCAGTCTCCTTATGTCTAAAATTGAAATAGTACCTAATGGGAAGACATGTAAATAGATCATTTCAGCTAAAAATTATAACTGTGTGATTAATGCACTGCTGGAAATAAACACAGCATGAGGATGGACTCTTATTCCATTCCCAAAAGGGCAAAGAATGTTTGAAGGTGGATAGAAACTCTGAGCTGAGGGGTTTCAAAGAATCAGTGGGGAAAGCCAGTGAACGGGCAAGGAAGGTAAAGGGAAGGGGTCCAGGTGTTAGGATCACTAGATCAAGGTACTTACTTCAACAAATATTTGTGGGTGCCTCCTGTGTGACTTTTAAAATTCAAACATACTGTTGTGATTTCCTTCATGTTCTTTCTATCAGTGTTTTATTCTTTTAATGAATTTTTAAAATTATACATAAAAGCACAAAATTGTATTAATGGGTGCCATGTGATGTTTTAATACATGGATACATTGGGTTAAACATGTCCTTAAATTATTATTATTTATTAAGATATAGTAGCCCATTTTACGATCATAACACTGTTATTCTGCTGAGGAACATTTGACATATTTTAAATTTCAGGCTATTTTGAGGAGTAGCTCAGTGGTTAAAGTATGAGCATTACCTGAAAAGTAATGCAGGAAGTTGCAGGCCATAGAACTTAAGACATTGATAAGGACCAGTATTATGGATCAGCATTTTTTTTTTCTTTTTTGTACTGGGAATTGAACCCAGGGACACTTAACCACTGAGCTACGTCCCCAGCCCTTTTTTATTTTGAGACAGGGTCTCATTAAGTTGCTTAGGGCCTTCCTAAATTGCTGAAGCTGGCTTTGAACTTGCAGTACTCCTGCCTTAGCCTTACAAGCCTCTGGGATTACAAGCATGTGCCACTGTGCTCAACTTCTTTATTTTTTAATTTCTTTCATCTTTTTATAATTTAAACCTCAGTTTGCAGTAGAAAAAATAAAATTTCATATTGTGAAAATTAATAAGAATCACATCTTCTTGTCCAGAGGAAAGTAAGAAAAATAGTTTAGTTTTTAGAATAATATTATTGTTTGTTAGCATTTTGGTTTAATACTGCTAAAAACTTCAAATTATTTGTTCTTTTCAGATACAAATAGTATTTTATCTTAAAAGGCAGGAGAAATTCTACTGATCAGCCCATCCTCATTATATAAGAAAGCCCATCCTCATTTTATAGGGAAGATTTTAAAAATGTTCTTTTGCCTCACTATGTGAACGCTTATGTGAGCACTACCTGAGAAAAGAATATTTTAACTAGATCTCAAAAATGTCTTATTTTTATTAGTAAAATCAATAATTAATATTTATGGCACACTTACAGTGGCAAGCACTGTGCTGTTTTTTTTTCCATATTATCCTATTTAACACTTCTAATAACACTTAATGTGCATTCTCTGTTTTAAAGATAGAAGAGCTAAGGCTTAGGAAAGGTGATGAGACTGACAAGAGGTTACAAAGCTGATAGGTTACAGAGGAGAATTCGATACACAGTTTTGTTTGTTTAATGTAAAGCTCTTAATTGTTACATTAAGCTACCCCACAATATAGAAAGGTTTTGCTTTTCAAAGTAATCCTCTAGCTCATGTTCCTAAAGTTTATTGCCTCACATTTCTGTTATATTCTGTGTAGATTATTATGGAAATAAAAATATAGGTAGCTTGGTACAGAAGTCTACTTTTTTAGAATTATAATCTTAGAGTTTTGTCTTTGAGCTGTTTGTACCATAGGTAGCAAGTCATAGTGTAAGCTATTGAATATTTATAGTAAATGCGCTCTAAATTATTTCTCTCTCTCTCTTTCAAGGAGGTCCCTGTTTTTACAGAATTAAGCAGAGAAAATGATGAAGAGAAAGGTAGTTTTAACTTTTCTTTCCTCTTTGTTAACCATGGATTCTTTTGTACTGACTTTGCTAAAAGTAGCATGTCTTGGGCTGGGGTTGTAGCTCAGTGGTAGAGCACTTGCCTCACACAGATGAGGCCCTGGGTTCAATCCCCAGCACCACATAAAAACAAACAAATAAAAATAAAGATATTTTATCCATCTACAGCTAAAAAAACATATTTTTAAAAAAGTAACATGTCTGTGAACAAGACATTTGATTTGTCAGGGTTGCGTTGTTCTTGTCTATAAAATGAAAAGATTATATGCTATGAATTGGATAGGATGCCTTCAGTCAACAGTAACAAAATTGAATAAAATAAGCTTAAACAATAAGGAGATATCTTTCCATGATAAGAATCTCAGTGGTGATGATTCTGCATGCCATTCAAACACACAAAGTAGCTTTCAGCATTCTAGTCATCACATCCAGACCTGGCATTTTCCAAAGGATGACAGAGAATCTCTTCTGGAGTTCCCTTAGGAGTAAGGAAACTTCCTAGAAGCCCACCAGTGAACTTCCTTTTGAATTGCTGGCCAGAATTAAAAGTAGTCCAGAGGGAATTGTACTGACTGGTTTAGACCAACAGAATTTACCCTAGAGCTGCAGATAGTGTTCTATCCCTAGAACCATGGCCAAGAGATATGACACTCAAAGTTGGAGTGCTATGAGCAAGGAAAAGGAGGGTTGAGGGATGGAATGTCACAGCAGCCAGCGTCAATTGCCACAACAACGTGGCATGTAAGGTCCTTCCCATCTCTACAAGCATCATGTAGGACATTTTCTGGAGAGGAGCATTTTAGCTTCATTTATTAGCATGTTCATGATTTCTTATGTGAACGCCTGTGGAATCTTGTCTGAAAACTTGTATTATATTTTTCCTGAACTCTACAAACGTATGTATATGAAATAACCTTTTTTTTTTTTTCCTTCTAGTCACATTTAACCTGAATAAAGGAGCATGTAGCTCAGCAGGAGCAACATCTTCCAAATCAGGGTGAGCTACAGTTACAGATCTGAACACTTTACAAGTTTCATGAAATATCATGTCGGTTACTACATTTTCAAGTATTGTGAGTCATTTTTTTTCTCATTGCAGTTTTCATTTTGGTTTGTTTATTATTTTTCAGCAGTTGTTCTTTTCTCATTTCCCTGTGGTAAGATGATTCTTTTGTTTGAGAAAAGGCTCATTTCATTTTATTTTTGAATGTGATGGGGTCTTGCTGTGTTATTCACTCAGTTCAAGTGGTCTTGCTGCCTCAGCTTCCTGAGAGTCTGGAACTAAAGGCCACTGTGCTGGACTAGGAAATGCTCATTTGAACAAAATGCTTCAATAGATAGATTTGTGGTTCTCTGTGAATCCTTCTCTGTTTTATGGTTCCTTCTGCTTTACTGTTTTTGTTTGTTTGTTTGTTTTTTGTTCTTTGTTTTTAAAGAGAGAGAGAGAATTTTTTTTTAATATTTATTTTTTAGTTTTCAGCAGACACAACATTTGTTTTTTTGTGGTGCTGAGGATCGAACCTGAGCTGCACGCATGCCAGGCGAGCACGCTGCCCCTTGAGCCTCATCCCCAGCCCTTCTGCTTTACTGTTGTACTGTATATTTTCCTACCCATTTCCCACAGTTTAAATGTAGACTGGGATGTACATTTTCTATTTTACCTGCTATAGTGTGATTTTCTGAAAATAGAGACTAAATTCTCAGTCTGTCTCCTTATTGCCCAGTGCAGTATAAGTTCCTAAAGAATAATGATATTTAAGAATAAAATAGTGGTAGGGTAATGGGCATACACGTGCCATAGTAAACAGTAAGAGTATTCAAGGAGCTTGAAGCAGGGGGAAGTTGTTAAAGGTAACAATGAGGTAGATTGTGTAAAATATACTGAAAATTGTGATTATAAAATATATTGAAATCTGTGATTGTATGGATTAATAGCAAAGGTGGCACCAATCCAAGGATTTGTAATCATTGGGCAGAGTTTCTTGTAGGAATTTTTTTTTTTTTTTTTTGTATAAGGTTGCAATATCCTTTGTGCAAGATCATGATTCTAGAAGAATTTTTTTGTGATAATTATTATCAGGAACCTTTTATAACCTCCCAGATTCATTCATTCATTTGTAGATTTATTTATTTATTGGTGAGGGTTGACACATTGCCTCCATTTTGATTTTGATGACTTTCCACTTCACATTTCCTTTTATTATTTGTTATTCTGAGATGTTGATGAATGTTATGGTTGTTCAACTGGCAATGAAATCCATCACTCTTGTTAGTTTCCTGTGGCTGTTGGAACAAACAGGGAGACTTGAAACAACAGAAGTGTGTCCATCTTTGGAGGTCAGAATTCTGGCATCTGCATCACTGTGCTGAAATCAGTGTTTAGAGGATTGTAGAGAAGGCTCTAGAGAAGAACATAGTCCTTGCTTCTTTTAGTTTGTGGTGGCTGCCAGCCTTCCTTGGTTTGTGGTTGCACCCTTCTAGTCTTCATGACCATATCTTCACACATCTCTTCTAGTTCTTAACATCACTTTTTCCTTTACAGATTAAGCCTCCCTGTGTATCCCTCTTAAAATAACAGGGGTAATTACACTTTAGGCCCACTCAGGTGGGATAATCTCTACATCATAAGATGTTTTACTTCATCTGATTTGCAAATATCCTTTTTTCTTAATAAGATAACATTTTTATATATTCCAGAGATAAGGACCTGAAATCTTTGGGTGTCTATAAGGCACCCTAATGTCAAGCCTTAATATTAGTAGGGAAAATGTTTTATTAAGTTCGGTATATTGTTTGAATTATCTATATGAATATGTATATAGAGTTGCAGAAAGTCCAATTAAAAGAACTCACCTAAACTTTTTTTCTCTGAAGTTATACTTTGTGTTTATATGGGCAGAAATTTGTTTTTCTGCTGGTTTAAAACTGTTATACGTAAAACCTAGAATGAGCTGGGCATGGTGGTGCATGCCTATTTCTCTGGAAAGAAAAAAAAAATACACACATAACTCAGAATCAGTCATTTTAACCTTTACTCGTGTGTGTGTGTGTGTGTGTGTGAGTGTGTGAGAGAGAGAGAGAGAGAGAGATAGTGAGGATTGAACCCAAGGGTGCCTTTCCACTGAGCTATGTCCCCAGGCCTCTTTACCTTGGTACAGGTTCACACTAAGTTGCTTAGGGCCTGCCTCCTTTAGTTGCTGAGGCTGGCCTCTAACCTGTGATCCTCTTTCCTCAACCTCCCTTGTTATTGGGATTATAGGTATGCATCACCACACCCAGCTCATTTTAACCATTTAAGTATGCACTTCAATCACATTAAATAAATCCACACTTTTATACAACAATCACCACCATCTATCTCTAGAACTTTTGCATTATCCCAAATGAAGCCCATTAAACAATTCCCAAATCTACCTCTCTGCAGCCCTTGGTACCACCATTCCATTTTTCTTCTGTATGAATTTGACTGCTCTAGGTAATCCATATGAGTAGAATTATGCAATATTTTTTCTTTTGCATATGGTTATTTCACTTAGCATTGTGTCTTCAGAGTTTGTCCATATTGTAGCTAAGGTCAGAATTTCATTCCTTTTTAAGGCTTATATCTTGTTATAAGGATATTCTACATTTTGTTCATCTGTTTATCCAATGATGAACATTTGAATTATTTCCAGCTTATGGCTATTATACATAATACTACTACGAACACTGGTGTATACAGACCTGTTTTGAGATCCTGCTTTCAGTTGTTTTACATATAGGCACATTAAGTGAAATTGCTGGATCATATGATCATTTAGTTTTAGGGTTTTTTGTTTTGTTTTGTTTTTGAGGCATTGCCCTATTGTTTTCCTACGACAGCCACAATATTTTAAATTTCTACCAGCAGTTTCTCCACATCCTTGCTAACACTTGTTATTTTCTGATTTTGTTTTGGCCATCCTCATGAGTGTGAAATGGTATTTTGTTGTAATTTTGATTTCTGTTTCCTGAATGATTAGTGACACTGAGCATCTTTTCATGTGCTTATTTGCCACTTGTATATATTTGGGAAAAAGTCTATTCAAGTTTTTTGCTTATTTTTTTATTAAAATTGTGTTTAGTTTTAAAAAGAATACGTGACAACCTTAAATAAAATAAAGTTTCCAAGCTGAGATCAAAATACTGAAGTAATTTCTGGATGCATCTAGAGAACTCATTATTGAGGAATTGTGGAAGCTGGGAGTAAGAAGGCAGAAAAATTGAGCAAATGTATTTTCAAAAACTAGAGAAAAATCTTTAGAAAACAATAGACTAACAAGCTTTTCTGACTGATTACAATAGGAAATAGGTGGTTGGTGAATGTTGAAGGAGAAAGTTGTTACTACCAGAGCCAAAAATAGCTACTTATTCCCAATTTTCTCTTTGCTAGCTTTCTTAGTTCCTATTTTATAGACATATTATAGTTGATTACAATCAGAATGAAGCCTAAATTCATTCTGGTTGAATTCATAGCTCAAGCAAGGTACATTTAAATCTAAAGAATGTTTGAAGTAACGGGTTAAGTAATTTCTCTTTATATGGACATGATCTTTTCAGAACTAATGCACATTATGTACAGCTGTCACAGACCTGGAAATCAGAATTTTAAAATATGTTCACTGGATTGAATTACAAGACAAACCCAGTAAGTGAAATTTTACAGAGGCAAATGTAAGCCTTACAGTTAAATAAGGAGAAAACAATTTCTATAAAGACTGTGGAGGAGTCTTACACTATAATTTTCTAGAAAAGATGTAGGAATTTAAGTTGACTTCAAGCTGAATATGAGTCCTTAAAGTGTTCTGGCTTTCTAATAATTTTAATGTTGTTTTTAAAAGCATTTTTTAAAAAAGCCCAAATAAAGGAAAGTAATAATTCTCTTTTATCCTCCATCAACCATGGTAGCTTTGTGTAATTATGACGCATTAAATGATGAGATTGGTAAGATTCATTTAGTTAGCAAATATTAATTAAGTATCTTTTATGTGAGTTACAAGGTAGTTCTGTTACTTTAAAGCAGAAAAAATACAGTATAAGAGTGGCATCATAGAATACAACTGATTATATATAATGCAGGGTAGAGTGTGATTTGCTCCATTAAGTACTAGGTCAGGTGAGAAAGCTGGAAGATTCAAGAACCCCCATGAAGAATTTTTAGAGATTATTTTAGGTATAAAATAAAGCATGTGCAAATTTTCAGTGACATGAAGCACAGAGCATGGCCCAGTTGCTAGCAAACTGATCAGAATGACTGATGTGCACATAAGAAGTCAAAGGATAGTTACTGAAGTGGTATTCTTTTGATAAGTGAATATTGGCAGTCAAGAATTTAAAATGTAGACTTAAACACTTAGGCAATTAGGAATAGTAAAAACTATTTAAGTGATATGTTGAAATTTTGGCCTTAAAAAAAAACCTTGCTTTCAACAGTAATGTGCTAGACTTATGCTAATTGTATAAAAACGTCTCATTTAATCTTTGTAGTAGAGCAAGGACTTGGGTTCTATTATTATCCCCATGTATACATGTGGATCTGAGCCTTAAATTATTGAGTTTTAAAGGTCCTAAGAGAAATACCCTCAAACCCTGATCTGCCCACCACTGGGGCCTGTACTGGCTCCACTTTGCTCTATGGATTGTAGTAGCACTAACTGAAAGGGCAAGAAGATAGTAGGGGGAGCTAAGACAGGACAGCATAAATGTTGTCATAATGCCAATAGTCGTGCACAAGATGCACATAGGCTCTTCACTGTTTTGACCGATCTCTAAATTAACCATGTAACATTTATTCTGTATTGTTGATCCTGCACAAAGAAAGCATTTTTTGGTATATAGTTTTTATGAACAAGCATGGTTCTTCTCTTCAGTTCTTTAGGACCAAGTGCACTCAAGACACTAGGGAGTACAGCTTCAGTGAAACGAAAAGAATCTTCCCAGAGCTCAGCTCAATCTAAAGAAAAGAAGAAGAAGAAATCTGCACTCGATGAAATCATGGAGGTACAGTTTATGAATTACTTATGGATGCTATAGCAATCAGAAGGAAGATGTAATTCAAGCCTAAGGAAAGTTAAATATGTCACCATTTATTAGAATAATATAAAATTAGAGAAACTTTCCATTCAAGGTTAGGGCAAAGAATCCTAGTTGCCATTCATCTGAACAGAGTTGGAACCCCATCTACCATGTTTATTTTCTTGCCTCAAGTGCAGTCTTTGAAACCCTCCATGCAGTGAGCACAGTAGAGTTCAGTTACAAGAGCTTTAGTAATAATCAAAACTGGGATCCTTTATGGATATTCTGCCTCCTCCAACTTGTACTCTCCTGTTGCCAATGGCTTCCATGCTTTGCCTCCTTGATAGTAGGAGAAAGCTGTGATATGTTTGACATGCTTGATTTAACATGAGGGCTAAATTTATATGATGAATCATTTAAATCATAAATTTATATGATGAATCATGATCTTGAGAAATTTGCAGTAGGTTCTTAATATATTCCTAAATATCCTTCTTCCTTTTTTACTCATGACCTTACCTTATCAATGAATTTATAAAACAAATGGAAGAGGAAAAGAGGAAGAATGGGAGGAAAGAATAATAAATAGATACAAGAAGCTTCACTTTTTTTCCTTTAATATTATTTCCTGTAGTCTTCTCATCTTTCATTTGCAAATGAAAAGGAGATAATTGTTTAGTCTTCTCTGCTACTAGCTCTCACACAGTACAGGGCACTCTAAAAAGCATAAAATATAATATGAACATACCATGAAATGTTATTCTACCATTTACTAAATATTGAGTTGCTGTTATGTGCTGGACATTATACAAAGTTCTAGGTCTGAATGATAGGGACAGAAATATGTCCTGATTTGTCATGGGACTTTCATTGTAGTGAGGGAGCCATTCAGTAAAGAAACAGACCTATAAATACTAAGTGACTGAGTGCAGAGGAGGAATGAGGGTGAGGAGTGGGGAAAACACTTGTGAAAGTTTCCTAAGGCAACAGAGATTTCAGCTCACATGGCTGGAGCATAGCAAGAGCATGGGTGGTACATTTTAGATTAGAGAAGTAGGGGCAACACTGCAGAGGTCACACATGCCATTGACAAGGAATTTTTGAATTTAGTTTAATTTAAAAGAAAATGGAAAGACAGATCTACCTTTTAAATACAATACATACTAAATTTAGAATGTTCTTTGTTCATATTTGATAATTGAAGATTTAAAATGAGGTTTAGAATCAACCAAAGAATTACAATTTTGGGTCCCTTTGAAAGTTGGTCATAGGGTTAACTTTAAGCCACTGAGAAAGAAAAAGATGTACTGTGTAGCCATAAAGGTCACACGTCACCTTTTTCCTTTTGGTTGCTTTTTGTTTTATTTACATCTCTCTTGATGGTACTTTTCTTTCATTCATGAGTTTTATTATCACTCACACCAGAAGCCTCCTTTTTGCTGTTAGACTGCCTCCCTAACCATGCTGTGCAGGTTTGGTCTACGCGTTGTTTTTGCCACATGACAAAACCACCTGTTCCAATTCATGACAGTCATTGGAGGACACCTGGAGAGGGTACTGTAGTGCTTGCTGGAGGATGGCCTTGTAGTATTGACTAACTAGGGGTTGTTACTGAGTTTCTTAGTCACTTCCCTTGCTTTATCACAAATCCAAGGTTTTTTAAAATTAAAAACTAGTTAGAAATAATGTTTATTTGTATTTATCAGAGCTTGCATATTGTATCATTGGTCTTTGGTGCAATGTGGATTTTATGGTGATATTTTGCTAACTAGAATGGTATTTTGAAATAAATTGATGATTTTAAAGAGATAGTTTTATGAATGTCTTGTGTGTTCTGTAGATTGAAGAGGAAAAGAAACGAACAGCCCGAACAGATTACTGGCTACAGCCTGTAAGTATCAACTCTAGCTTAACTTCCATGTTTACATTTAGTAGAATTGTAAATATGGAAGTATTAGTTTTCAATTTATATCTTATGAAAATACTCATTTAGGTACTTTGTAGAAAAAAAGCAAGTTTTAATTTTATAAACTCAAGGAATTATATTTAATTGCTTACTAATTATTGCTTATTATTTTTAAATAATAATTTAAAGTAATTTAAATATTTAAAAAGCTTCTTCTTATTTATTGATGCTCTATTTTGAACTTACTGAGATGTAGAATTTTCCTAAAAGTTTCAGAGTACCATATTTATTCTTTTAGAAACTGGTTTGACCAATAATAGGGTAGTGAAAGTAATGTATGACTTAGATTAATTTCTGATTTGAGAAAGTATCTTGAAAGTTGAGTTCAGAATTCTAATTCAAGTCTTCATAGTCATTCTTTCACTGGCATGGAAATTACTTAACTTCTATGTTTTGTTTTTGTTTTTTGTTGTTTTGGGTACTGAGGATTGAACCTAGGGGTACTTTACCATTGAGCTCCATCTCCAACCCTCCCCTGCTTTTTTAAATTTTGAGACAGTATCATTAAATTGTTTAGGACCTCACTAAGTTGCTGAGGCTGGCTTTGAACTTGGGATCTTCCTGCGTCAGCTTCACAAATCAATGGGATTACAGGTGTGTGCCACCACATCCGTCAGGACTATATTTTTTATATTTAGAAATGTATTGAACAGATCGGTATAAGCTAAGGGTAAAAAAAGTACAATAATTTAATGAATTGTCTTTAGATCACTAGAATATGAATCCATGAGGGCCTTTAAGAAATTTAACTTAGAAATATTATAGCTAAATCAGAAAAGATGTTTTGGCATTAATTGGCTTCATGTAGAAAGCCTTAGTAGAAGAGAGGCTTAAGAATAAGACCATTCACATTTTCTCTTAAACATGTCTTTCTCCTATTAAATATTCTCCTCTTAAAGTCCTAACAAAATTTTGTCAATATAATTCTTACTATGGCTTTATGAAGGGTTTATGACCATCTATTTGTTACATTAACTTGAAGTAGCAAATGTAACATCACTGCAGTGAATATAGCAATCAGACAGTTTAATTTTCTTTTTTAATATTTATTTTTTAGTTGTAGTTAAACACAATATCTTTATTTTATTTATTTATTTTTATGTGGTGCTGAGGATCGAACCCAGACCGTGCGTGAACATGGTAGGCGAGTGCTCTACCGCTGAGCCACAACCTTAGCCCAATTTAATTTTCATTATCAGCTTTTGAGCAGCTCATCCAAAGCACAAAAGAAGAATGATAAAGCAGTAAACTCAGAATTCATTAATATGAAATGAGCTTGGATCTCTTTCCCATTTGAGATGAGATACTCTTAGCTAGAGCTGAACTGAATAATACTATGTGTATCAAAAAGTTCAAAGCAGGCCAGTGCGGTGGTGCCTGCCTATAATCCAGCAACTTGAGAAGCTGAGGCAGAAAGATCACAAGTTCAAGGCCAGCCTGGGCAATTTAGCAAGATCCTGACTCAGAATTAAATAAAAAGAGCTGATAGTGTAGCTCAATACTTGCCTAGCAGGTGCAAGGCCTTAGGTTCTATCCTAGTACTGAAAAAAGAAGGAAAAAAAAGAGAGACTGACAGAGAAAGACAAAATGCTCATAGCAACCTAATGAGAAAAGAACATTGTGAAAGTTTCACGCATAATCTCAATGGCTCAGTTCCTTTCAATTCCTGGTAAGACTCTTGCAATCTGTTTTTATCATCAGGGAATACCAACAATATATTATCCTTACTTTCACTGTTTTTATTGGAAAGAAAAGTGATCTACGAAAGATAAGAACTAATAGAATTTGAGATTTACAAATGAAAGTCCTAGATCTTAAGAAATCTTCACTGTGGAGATCAATGATTTTGTATATACTTTTTCCTCTTGGTAACCATGTTGGACAAAAAAGAGAAATAAGAATAAAAGATTACTAATGAAATATTCAGCCAGTGCTGGGAAGGATTACAACTCACTAATTTCTTCTTTTTTTTTTTTTTAACTAAGAAAAATAGAAAATAGAATTACTTTCTGTTATTGTTTTTATTTTTATTTCTTCATGTATTTATTTATTTTTTAGTTGTTGATGGACACAATACCTTTATTTTATTTATTTATTTTTATGTGGTGTTTAGGATTAAACCCAGAGCCTTGCACATGCTAGGTGAGCACTCCACCGCTGAGCCACAACCTCAGCCCTTAGAAAAGATAATTTCTGTCTTTTCCTTTATCTTTATTTTTTGTTGTTATTTTCCAGGAAATCATTGTGAAAATTATAACCAAAAAACTTGGAGAGAAGTATCACAAGAAAAAGGGTATCGTTAAGGTAAGGATATGAAGTTATGCATGGAAATTGTGAAAAAAGCTACTGGTTACCCAGTGAAACTATTTTGGTATTTCTTGAAAATTAAATCCTTGTAGCAGAAGTATTATTGTGTCTAAGATTCCAATTATTCCATAAGATGAAATCTGAATTCATAATAGTTGGCGAAATACTTTTTTTCCAACCATAGTTTATATTTAACCTTGGTCTGTTTTCTTACTGGAACAAATAGTATTAAAGAAATCCCATCACTATTGCTTAAAAATCTCAGTTGTGCATGCCTTGCCCATTAACCAGTGAAACGTTTTCTTCTTGTTAATGATGGACAAGTATAATTATGCCCCAGAGGTCTCACGAGGACTTTCCTTGTGTATTACCTAGGAGACTAGCTCTCTAGGGTTTTGAAATTCCAGTCCTTTTCTGCCTTTCCTAAATATAGTTTCATTCTAGCACCCAGCCTTATGCATGTGTAAATTGCCTTTTTTTCTGTAGTCTAAGCTAGGCAAATGGCCCTTCCTGCTGGATTTCTCAGTCTTATTCGAAGATCACTAGTCTCATATTCTTTCCAGGTGAAAACCTTAGTTAAGCTTTGAATTGAGTTCTATACTGAGAACCATTAACAGAAAAATCATGTATGGGATCTGGAAAATAATATTACTTATAAGAGTTACTTGTATCTTTCAATTGAATTTCATTTCTTTTTATTTTATTTATATTAGTTCTTTTCACTTAGTATTCACATATTCTTCTATGATAAAGGTATTCATTTTACATGACAGGAAGTAATTGACAAATATACAGCTGTTGTAAAGATGATTGATTCTGGAGACAAGCTGAAACTTGACCAGACTCATTTAGAGACAGTAATTCCAGCACCAGGTAAACTTTTTTCAGACCACTTATATATATATTCCATCAAAATAAGTGATTCTATTCTTAAAAACCTTGTTTTTTTGGCATTACTTGGTAGTTACAGATGTGTTTCATTTTCAGAAATATTAACTGCCAATATAACTGATCCCTATTTGACTTCAGGTGTCACAATACTTGACTAGTCCTTTGATAAAGCTGTTTTGTGGCATGAATGAATTTTCCCTTTCTGGAAAACTTTTTTTTTTTCCTTCTGAAACAAAACACAGACATGTATCAATAAAATTAATCATATTAGGCTTATATTGTTAACATATTTGTTTAGCTATCTGAAATAGTCAAGTAAAAGTCTGTTTTACTTACTGATTTTTTTCCCCTTAACTATCTTTGTCTTTTGGGTCCTTATTCATATCTAACTATAAACACCAATGGGGTTAGATTGTCTCTGACTCAAAATCTTCTTGAACATATCACTGAGGGTACATTGATAATGTTGATCTTAGGAACTTCCACATATCATATCCTTTATTTTTCTCCCTCAAATGAAACTCTTCTTATAGATTGGCTTTATCAATGTATAATTGATGAACAATAAATTGCACATTTATCAAAAATATAAGCAATTTTAATGTGAGTACTGCTGTGAAACCATCACTAAAATGAAGACAATGAACACTTCCCTTTATTTTCCTTTCTAATCCTTCCACTTGATCCCCTACTCTTGCTTCTTCTGTCTTCCTAAACAACATCAGACCTGCTTTCTGTCATTGAAGATTGGTTCATATTTTTACAGAATTTTATATAAATGAAATCATACTGGTGTCTTAGTTTTGTGGTTGTTCAATTTAGGTTATTTTGACATTGTTGTTGGGTCTCACTTCTTTCAGTTAACATAATTATTTTGGATTCATACATGTTGAATCTATAGTCCATTTATTTGTATTGCTGAGGAATATGTCAGTATGTTGATATACCACAATTTATCCAAACACCTGTGGATGGACATTTGGGTTGTTTAAAATTTTTTACAGATACAGATAAAACTGTGAACATTCATGTACAAATCTTTGTGTGAGTGTATGATTTCTTTCGGGTAAATACTTCAAATGGTTGTCACATGGTAGACATAAGTTTAAATTTTTATAAAACTGCCAAACCATCTTATTAATTAAAAAAAAAAAAGACAATGTAAGTAAATTTTCTTATACTTCTGGACTCTGAACATTTTCTCTATGTACCCTATACACCTTGTGATCTAAAATTAAAACATATCCATTTAAGAAATAATTGAAAACAATGAGGGGTTTTATAACATTAGAGTAATCAAAGTTATTTATAAACTACACTTTAGAACACCACATAGTTCTTAACATGATTAAGAACCTCCAAGAGAAGTTTTTTGTTTTTATTATATTCATTGTAACACATTTTGTTGTAACAAGGTAGGAAAAAAGTAGACAGTTTCTTTGCATTAAGTTTTATACACATTTCTATTATAGGGAAAAGAATTCTGGTTTTAAATGGAGGGTACAGAGGAAATGAAGGTACCCTAGAATCCATCAATGAGAAAACATTCTCAGCTACAATAGTCATTGAAACTGTAAGTTTGTTTACAACTAGATAAAAATTTGAAAATGCTTTAAAAATGTATCTTAGTTCTTTTTAATTGAATTGAACTTTGTTTTAATTAGAGTATGCGTTTTTTTTGTTTGCCTTCCTTCCTATATAGAAATCTGTAAGCTTTTTTCTCTAGTGGCTTTGTCCTTTATGAAGCATTTTATTTTCTCATTACAAAAGAAATGGGTACTCATTATACAAAAATCTGAAAAATATAATTTAAGTAATTCTAAAAAAAATGCTCATAATTCCAAAGATAACCCCCATTAATATTTTAGTCTGTTCCTTTTCAGCCTTTGCATTTTGTAAAATTATATACAAGATGGACAATTTTATATCCTAACTTTTTTCCCACACATCTAATGTAATATAATATTAAAATTAATTGGAAAATGTAATCATAGTTGATGGAAAAGGAGCCACAGATATCAATAAATTTTCAAAATGTCCCCCTCCTTTATTAAGGAACTTAAAGTAGCAGAAATCAACCCAGTTATTTCAAGAACTCTTATATATAAATAAAATTATTTGTCGACTTTAAACTATAAGTTTACTGACAGGTCTTTGGGTGAGATCTGAGATTTCTTAAAATTAAAATTCTTCTTAGAACTCTAAACTACTGCCATATCTTTCTATAAACAAAAGAAATTTCATCTCCAGTACAGTAGGTTTTAGTTTGGGATGGGGTGATAGACCCCTTAGAGAATCTGATGAAAGTTTGGCTTCATTTTTCAAAAAATTATACCTAATTGCCAAATTTTATGTTTTCTCTTTGGGAAGTCATAGGCTCTCTAAACCCATGGACCTGTGAGAAAATATTTGTCTCAGAAAGACATTCTGGTAAAAACACTTAGATCCTTATTTAAGAGAACGCACACTTACTTCAGTAAATTAAGGGGAAAAAAAAAAAGTATCATGACAATACTAAAGTAGAAACTATCATTCACTAACATAAATGTAAGGTAATAAAAGTTAAAAAGGGACTCTTACCTGGCATTGAGGAATATCGGTCTCACTAAATTTACATATTTGGGTTTTTTAAAATTCAAGTTTTTCTTTCTTAATCAGTATGAAATGATGGGAAATCCCACATTTCCTTGACAGATTGATTGTCCTTTACTTTTTAATTTCATAGTCCTGTCCACTGTAGAGCCTACTTCATGTTTCCATCCTCAGGAAACACAGAACAACCTATTGAGGATATTTTAGGTTGTGTCCTGATATCTTGATCACAGTTGATATAATTTTCATCAAAAGCTAATTTCTTCCCTCCTTCCCCATAAACCCACACTTCTCTCTTCTTTTTGGTGGGTTGGTTGTTCACAGGGTTGTTTTTGAGATAGGGTCTAGGAGCAAAACCACAGTATAGCTTTTCAGGTTGGTTACAAAGCAACACATACTTCCAAAAGAGGAAATTCACTTCTAGTTTTTGTTTCTCATTTTTTTTTCAGCATGCCCACATTTAAACAACAACAAAAAGGCTGCACGTGTAATGCATGTTTGTCTCTTATGTCCCCATGTTTTCTTTGAATCACTTTTCAAGTTGTTTCTCCTGCTATTTTTATTACTTTAGAGAACAGATTTTTAATAGCTGATAATGTATATCTAAATATAGCCTAATCTTTTTTAGCTATTTGTCTAATGAACCCAAATATCTGGTTCCCTTCTTAACTCTCCAGGTGTGCAGTTCTTATCAGACAAGTTTAATTGACCATAGACCGTTAAATGCAGTAATGAAAGATTTGATCTGGGTCATGCTTCATCTGGAAACTTATTTCCTTTAAATATAATTATTATTATATTTTTAAAAACTGACATTTTGAAAAGCATTTTTAACACAAGCTATGGTTCTTTGTTGAAAAATATTAAAATCTCACTGAGTGTGGTGGCACTCACCTGTAATTTCAGCAACTTGGGGCAGGAGGATCGTGAGTTCAAAGCCAGCCCCAGCAACTTAGTGAGGCCCTAAGCAACTTAGCATGACCTTGTCTCTAAATAAAATATTAAGAAAGGCTGGGGATATGGCCCAGTGGTTAAGCACCCCTGGGTTCAATTCCCAGTACCTCCCCATCCCCCGCCCCAAAAGTCTCAGTCCATGGTTAGAGTTGTGATTGTCATTGTTATCATCATCATGTTAGTGCTATACTTTGTAAAGGAGAGGGTTTTAATAATAAGTATTGATAAGTATTGTGCATATATCCATTTAAAGTTCTAAGTAGTATTCTACTTAGAACTTTGGGCATTTAATAATATATGTTTTCCAACAACTCAAAAGTAGAGGCACTGCTGTTATACCACCTGGGGATACCAGAACAGAGACAAGAGTGGGAAACTGAAGAGCAGAGGTTAAATTGCTTGCTCTAGGTGGGAGTTGAACTTGGAAGTCTAGGATAGGAGTCCATATTCTTTTTTTTCTTTTAATATTTATTTTTTAGTTTCGGGGGGACACAATATCTTTATTTTTATTTTTATGTGGTGCTGAGGATCGAACCCAGTGCTTCACGCATGCTAGGCGAGTGCGGTACCACTTTAGCCACATCCCCAACCCTAGGAGCCCATATTCTTAGCTCCTTTATTCCCAGATTGTCTCTACCTTTGAAGTTTTCCCCTTTTCCTTTTTGTTGATATGAAGTAAGGAAGAAAATATGTTTAAAGATAGACCCATATTCTGTAATAAGACCAGCCTGAACTATCACAACTCACTTGATACATGAGAGTTGTTATATTGCTTTTAATAATATTTGGAAAAGGAAAAAGAAACCTCAATGGATAATGGCACAAACAAGATAGATATGTATGAAGTTTAAAAGGGGTATTCTTCATCACGGAAGTGTTCTTTTCTGAGTTGTAATTTGTAGAGCCAGGTCATTCCTATTAGTGGCTCTGCCATTTTAAGAAGTGGCACCTGCAGGTGCCATGTCAGACAGAACACAGAGGAGCATGACAGATTGCAGGTAGGCAGCTGGTGTGGCTGGATCATAGCTTCTGCTCATGCCTATGGGCTGGAGCTCCATTTATGGCCACATCAACCCACCAAGGGAATCAGGAAGTACAGCTGCTTATTAGGGAAACTGAGAAGACACTGCACAGCTGGGAAGTCTCTGTCACTATGTCTACTGATTACATTAATTAGAATGCCATAGATTATTTTTAAATGCACAGATGTACAGAAATATTAGCTACCTCATGATATTCTAGGGATATGGAAAAGGTAAATTTTGTCCATAAGTGTGGTGTCATTTTTTTTCCCTTTTAAATACATGTGTTTTTAACCGTTTCTAAATTATTTTAATTTGTAGGGCCCTTTAAAAGGACGAAGAGTTGAAGGAATTCAATATGAAGACATTTCTAAACTTGCCTGAGTTTGAAAATTTGTTAACAATACATTAAAATTCTAAAGCATCAAATTGGTGTTTGCCAAGGCATTATGAGACTCTACTGTGTTAGGGTATTTCTTTTATATAAAACAAATGGATTTATTTAAATATTACTGTATAGTTGTTGTGAAACTTATAGAAAAATCTAATTATGTCTACTGAAGTATCAAGACTATGTAATTTTTCCTTGTTTTTTCTTTTTTTGTAATATTTCCTTGATTTTTTATTTTCATTAAAGAACGTTATTGGAGAGTGTTTTATATTGGATAATTTAGAATCATATAATCAGAGAAAATCTTTCATGTACTCTAAATTTATATTTTCCATAGTAGAATAGTAAAATTGAACTCTAAGTATACATTTTAAAAAGCAAAGCTACAAATATAATAGTAGCTTTATTGTGATATAATTTACACATTTAAAATGTACAGTTCAATGGTTTCCTATATTTATAGAGTTGTGCAACCATTTCCATATCTAATTTTTTTAGGATATTTTTATCACCTTGGAAGGAAAGCCTGTACACAATCTTTACTCCTCCCAGTCACTTCCAGTTTCTGGGAGCCATTAATCTACTTTCTGTCTTTATGGATTTGCCTAGTCTAGACGTTTTAAATAAATGGAGTAACCTAACATGTGGTCTTTTAAGACTGGCTTCTTAATACTTTGCTAAATAATTTCAAGATTTATAAATGTTGCAGTGCTTCATTTCTTTTTATTGCCAAATAATATTCACTGCTTGTTCATCCATTCATCAGTTGACAGGCATTTGGCTATCTCTGTTTTTCAGTTATTATGGATAACGCTACTGTGACACTTGTGTAGATGTGTGTTTTCAATTCCTAGGAGTAGACTTGCATAGTCACATTAGAGTTTATATCCTGTTTAATATTTTTGAGGAACTGAACAGTTTTACAAAGCAACTGCATCACACCAGCAAAGGTGAACTATCCATTTTTAAATAAATAGAGCATCATATTATTTGGGAATGCAGAAGACTGGAAACCCACCTCATTCTTACCTATGCTCACCTCCCCACCAAAACAGGAAATGTATGGTTCACATCATTGAGCATGAGCAGGTGCAGTGAAATCCAAGTATGAATGGTCTTATTGGGGCTTGTTCTCTTCGTTGGTTCCATTCTCAGGCATTCTTAAAAGAACAAGATGGTTCCCAGTGTCTCCAGTTTACATCTTACTTTCAGTAGCACTAGTTAAAAAAGAAAGAAAGAAAAAAAAAAGACTATCTTCTATATTGATTCATATGGAAGGCCTGCAATAGTCTTATTAGACCATACCTAGTAAAGTCATTCCAAAGAAAAGGATGGAATATGCTGACTGTCCAGACCAGCGTTGTATGCCAGCCCCTGGGCCATCTTGCTTGGAATGAAAAATAGAGGAGGGCTGAGAATTTCTGTTATCAGATGATGGGAGAATATATGTTAAAAGTAGAAACATAAGAGGCAAGATAAGAAATAGTGACAGGAAGATATTAGTACCTTTACAGAAAGTATTTAGGGATGGGTTAAAAATCTTTCCAAAATAACTTGACAGTGTGGTATCATGGAAAACAACTGGGTCTTGGGGCTGGACAGATGTAAGGTTGAAAATGTTAGCTAATCTATTCTCTGCCTATATAATCTTAGAAAGTTAATGTTTGTGAATCATAATAATTTCAATGTGTAAGTTTTCAAAAATAATGTGTCCATGCAGAGCTGATGTTAGAACTGCAGAGAATTAAGATTAAAAAAAAAAGAAAAAGAGGGGCCAGGGTTGTAGCTCAATGGTAGAGCCCTTGGCTAGCATGTGTGGGGCACTGGGTTCAAATCTCAGCACCACATACAAATGAATAAATAAAATAAATATGTTGTGTCCATCTACAACTTAAACAGATATCTTAAAAGAGACAGAAAATACATATAAAGTGTCAGACATAAAGCTTGGCACATAGTAGCTGTTTGGAAATGTCAGTGAGTAGTAGTGTCAGTAAATGTAATCAAGCATTTGAAGCCAGCCCCAGCATGAATCTGATCCAAAGAATTTCAGTAAGGAGAAGTTCTTAATAATAGTGTAACTGAAAAATGTGCCAAATTAGATCTACCTCCTTGAAATCCTTAATTTTGGAATAAACTCAGTGATTTTCTTCAGAGAGAAATGATTCTTTCTTACCTCTGTCATTTTTTTCCTCTCAACATCTTCCTGAACTTATCTTGGAATGAAATAAAGTAGTGTACTTCAAGTTAAGTTCATTAAAAAATATCTGAAGCACAAAAATGTGATCCTAAAGTACAGAAATATTTTTATCCTCTAAGGTCTTAGGCCAATAGTGGTTACATTAAGCAGTAGGACAGCAGACACCCCAAATCAGGTCTTACATTGGCTTTTCTTTATAAAAGATCATAAGCTATTCTTTTCCTTTTTAAAAAAAAAACAGACTTTAAAGCGTTTCTATAGGTTTTGACAAATGTATACTGTGTGTCCACTGTTACGGTGTCATACATAGTACTTTCACTGTCCTAGGAAGCCTCTGTGCTCTGCCTATTCGTCCCTCTTCATCCCTCAAATTCCTGTTCTTTTCACTGTCTCCATAGTTTTGCCTTTTCCAGAATGTCATATAGTTGGAATCATAGGCTGTAGCCTTTTTCTTTCACATAATACACATTTAAGATTCCCCTGTGTCTTTTCATGGCTTGATATCTCATTTCTTTTTTTTTTTATTTTTTTAAGTTGTAGATGAACACAATGTCTTTATTTATTTATTTTTATGTGGTGCTGAGGATTGAGCCCAGTGCCTCATATGTGCTAGGCAAATGCTTTACCACTGAGCCACAACCCCAGCCCCCTCATTTCTTTTTAAGGCTGAATAATAATCTTGATTGTCTGGATCTTCCATAATTTACCCATTCAACAGTAGATACCTTGGTTGCTTCCAAGTTTTAACAGTTATGAATAAAGCTGCTGTCAGCATCCTGGGTTCAGGTTTTTGTGGAGATACAGCTCATTTTTCTATATTTCTGAGAAGCAAATATTTTCGAAAGCTAATCAATAGGCAGCTAGTGTGGTAGTTGTTTCTTTCCAACTGTTCCCATTAATTTGTTCCCTTTGTTTAAAATAAGAGTATGTTTTTTTGTAAGATACTACCAAACTCTCTTCCAAAGTGGTTTTACTATTTTGCATTTCCACCACTTCACATCTTTACCAACATTTGGCCCTGTCCATCCATGTTCTGGGTTTGGGCTCTCCTAATGTATATGTAGTGGTATCTCATTGTGTTAATTTGCAATCCCTTAGTGACATGATGCTGAGCATCTTTTCATCTCCTTATTTGCCATCTGTTTACCTTTGGTTCACTTCTTTTTTCAGGCCTTTGCTCATTTGTAAACTGGACCATTCATTCTCCTGTTGTGTTTTAAGAATTTTTTTTAATAAGGGTTTTTTATCATATATGTCTTTTGTAAATATTTTCTCCAAACAGTGGCTTTGTTTTCTCTCTCTCTCTCTCTCTCTCTCTCTCTCTCTCTCTCTCTCTCTCTCTCTCTCTCTCTCTCTCTCTTTTTCTCATCAGTGTTCCTGAGATTATATGAAAGTTTTAGCATTGCTACCCTGGGAAATAAAATGCCAGAATTTTCTTTACTAGAATACCATTAAGTTCCATTACCTTATTTGCTGATTTCCCCTTTGTCTTCTGGTGTCCTCTTCCAGCCCCAACCACCTATCAGTTTTTGCTGACAGAACAGAGTCATATTCATTAAGTAAACATTTACTGAGTACCTCTAGTCTGTAAGAATGATATGTAAGAATGAAAAGCAGGTATCAACCCAAGGTGCATGTTGTATAGAAATTCAGAGTGTTCATTGGTACTCAAATGAAGTAATAATAAGCCCATAGTAAGCAACTCCATAATGTGAAGTACTTAGTTAAAAATCTGCCATGACTTTGCTAGGCCCTAAGAGACTATTCACTGATACCAGTAAAATGGAAGCACAGGGTTAGAGTATGAATCAGCCTTGATTGTAAATTAGTCATTAGGTTGACCAAAGTGACCCCAGAAATATTAGCTGTATAATTAAGTCATTATGCCATTAAAGAGAAGCATCTTTGTTTTTTCTCTCTTATGTGGATATTTCAGAAAAAGTTACCAAATAAATTTGGCCAGAAAAAAGAAGTTTTAAGAAAAAAAATACTTGGGGAATGGAGAATGGATATTGGCCAAATCATAATGTCATATTGTGTGCATGTATAAATATACAACAGTAAATCCCACCATTATTACAACTATAATGCATAAATAAAAATATGGAAAAATATGAAGTTCTTAATAGCACATAAGCATCTGCATGTTTCTAGGCAACCGGGAAATTTTTTCCTTGATTTTTTTTCCTGGATCTTTGGAGTTACTTGTATCTCCTTCCATAGGATAAGGCTACCTAAAAGATGCCACTTTTTTTTTTAAGGGTTTATTTTTTTTTT